TAGGCTGAACTTATCCCTGCAAATATCTCCCACTCTCAAAAATGGGTCCCACTTCCAGATCATCCCATTTGCAAATCATCTACTATTCTACATCCCAGCAAATCCAATCAACTTTCAAAAGTTGGCCCCAATTTCACATCACTTTAAAAAAATTAATATTTTTTTCTTAATAGATATTATTTTGTCTTCAACATTATTAATTTATATCTATATAAATTATATTTCAATATTAAAAATAACAAAATTGAAAATCTAAAAACAAACCATTTTTAAATTTTAAATCAAAAACGGTAAATGTAATTGTAATTTACGTATATCAATCTTTCAAAAAAATGTATGTATATCAACATAATTTTTAGACACGTTAATTTTAATTTTATTTATTTTTAAAAAATAATTTAAGAAATTATTCGTATTATGTATGGTATATAACTGAGTGCATATTATATCATGATTTGAATTCTAAAACTAAACCTCAAATGAACATTACAATATATTATTTTATTAAAAAAAAATTATTACATATTAAATAAAAAAAATAAAACAAAACAAACTTCATACGACAAATTGGCAAAATGCAAAACAAACTAAACAAATAAACTAAAATAAAATAACTGATACAAAACAAACTAAATAAAACAAACAAAATAAAAATATAAAAATATAAAAATAAAAAATAAAAAAAAAATAAAAAAGAAAAAGGTATGCGGCACCTTTTTGTACGATTGCAAGTCAAGGAGAGCAAACTTGCAATCCTAATCACTATTTAAAAAAATAAAAATAAAAAATAACATAGCTGGCAACTGTCTATGTCATCTTGCAAAGCCCATGTTTGCTTGGGTAGTCCCCAATCGTTATGCTGTGCAACCGTGTGCACCAATTGCAAAACGACGCCGTTTCATTTATAAAAAAAAAATCCCGTTCGGATCGTCGTTAACGGCGTTAGGCGGTTTCCTTTCGTATTCAAACAGTAGAATATATCCATAATTTCATAATTATATATCCACAATTTCATAACTATATATCTAGAATTACATAACTATATGTCCAGAATTACATAACTATATATTCATAATTTGACAATAGTACATTCAGAAATAATAACTACACATTCATATCCAAATATTCATAATTTCACAACTAGACATTCATAATTACATAACTCCATATTCAGAATTCATAAAGTGCTTGTTCACAGAAAACCATATCCATAATTGCATAACTATACATCCATAATTTCAAAACTATATATCCATAACTTCATAACTATATATCCATAACTTCATAACTATATATTCAGACTTGCATAACTACACGTCGATTGGAGTTTTTGTAAATATATATATATATATATATATATATATATATATATATATATATATATATATATATATATATATATACATATATTATTTGATTGGTAGAGTTTAACGGTGTCACTAATGGCACCGTTACTCCATCGTATTAAACGGTGTTGTTTTGCAACCGTGCATGGTGCACACGATTGCACAACATAATTTGCGGGTAATCCCAGCCTTAGACTGGTCCCCAGCAAACATGGGCTTTGCAAGATGACATGGACAGTGCTATGTTATTTTTTATTTTTATTTTTTTAATAGTTATTAGAATGATTTTTTACTCTGCTTGCAAACTTGCAATCGTACAAAAAGCTGCCACATGTACATTTCTTTTATATATATATATATATATATATATATATATATATATATATATATATATATATATATTGTTTTATTTAGTTTATTTTGTACCATTTTTTATTTTATTTTATTTGTTTAGTTTGTTTTGTATTTTGTCAATTTGCCGTATGAAGTTTGTTTTGTTTTTTTTTTTTTTTATTTTAATATGTAATAAATTTTTTTAATAAAATATATATATTGTAAGGTTCATTTGAAGTTTAGTTTTACAATTCAAATTGTGGTATAATATGCACTCGGTTATATACTATAATAATATGAATAATTTTTTAAATTATTTTTCAAAAATAAATAAAATTAAAATTAATGTGTCTAAAAATTGTGTTGATATACATACATTTTTTTTTAAAGATTGATATACGTAAATTACAATTACATTTACCGTTTTAGATTTAAAATTAAAAAATGGTTTGTTTTTAGATTTTCAATTTTGTTATTTTTAATATTTAAATATAATTTATATATTGATATAAATTAATAATGTTGAAGACAAAATAATATTTATTAAGAAAAAAATATTAATTTTTTAAAGTGATGTGAAATTGGGGCCTACTTTTAAAAGTTAATTGGATTTGAAGAGATGTAGTGTGAATAGTAAATAATTTGTAAATGGAATAATGTGAAAATGGAATCCATTTTTTAAAGTGGGAAATATTTACAAGGATAAGTTCAGTCTTAGTTTTTCCCTTTAAAACACATTACCTAGGTTTCCAAAAAAAAAAATACACATACACTTTACCTGAAGAATCACCATCATCATATATTATTATATGTGCCATGACACCACTATTCACATGTCATCTAATCATGATGGGATAGGAACATCAAATCCGTGGCACACCAATCGCCAACAAATAGGCGTGGTTGAAATTAAACGTCCCGCATATCCAATAGTAGACTGCCATGACTACTGACCAAGAAACTAAGCACAAGCTTAGCTCAATGGGTCAGTAGACAATATTTAGAAGAAGATATCAATGTTGGAGTTTTGTCGGCGACAGTGAGAATTATTATGTCTAAAGTGGGCAGATTTCTTGTGAGTATAGATATTTGGTTATGTCTGCTAAGCCAGTGATGAATCACCGTAAAGAAGAAGCTAAGCTCTTTGCCTGCATGGAGGAACTTGTAGTAATATATAGATATATACATACCTTTTGAAGTCACACTGAATAAGAAAACTATACGTAGCTACTCAATTGAGATGTACGAAGTTTTATGCATGGGTTTAATGCTAGCTTCTGAAATTACAACTGATGAAAAATATGAGAGGATAGCAGAAAAAGGAGTGTGTGGTTGGGTAACTTTAGTAGACGACATGACTAAAGTAGGCACAGAATATGAAGAGATGGGCGATGAATTGAAGGACCAACCAATTAACCATTGGTTTTGTTTGGAAGTGGAACTAGATTCTTTCCTCAATAATACTCACTACTGTACTTTGATTTCAATTCATAGGACGACAGAGCTACGAGTGATAATCTATAGGATCGCTTTTATTAACTACTATTTTCCTTAGCTTGTCCACCACACACCTATCATCTCACCCATTTCAATTTGTTGCATCATATCACTGATTCAATTCTGATCTATTGAGAATGCAAATTAAAATGCCATCTTTTTTCAACCAAGATTGCTGGTCTTGGCTGCTCGCTTGACATTATGTTTCCTCCTCGCACCATCCTATTGGCTGTCGCCACCCAAGGTGGAGGAATGATACTGTGATAGTCAGCATTGTGTGACGACTGTACTTCCACCGGCCCCATAATTATTACTATCAATTCAATTCAATTGAAATGGAATCCAAAGCCTATTCACTTGCCTCAATGTTAATATGTTATTAGTGTAAGTGTTGAGTATGGATAATCGGAGTATTATTGCTGTCATACGGTCCATTACAACACATTATTATTCTTCATTCATTATCCTTGCACACAACTTCAATCTGACATAATTGTAGATGAATAAATTAAATCACATAACTCAACCACTTAAGTGGAGAACTAGCGCGCCTGGTGCCCACTTAGAGTCACCCCATAAAAGGGTAAAAGTCTCACACTTCGACTATATTGTCAAGTCGGGATCATGCGGTCCTGCATACAATTTATCACCTATGAATTGGGACGAAGCCAGAAAATTATTTGAATGGGGACGAAGTTCAAATAACCACAGAAATATCAATTACAAAATTATCAAACATGCATAATAAGGTTAAAGTACAAAATCCATTATTATTATTATAAATTACAATAGAATTATTTTTATAGATTACACAATAGTTAGTTAGAGTCGGAGCCAAAAATATACAAATGGTGTGTGTTGGTTTTCACAACCTTGATGGCCGCTCGGCTGGCCAACACTACCGAAAGGATGTGCTTGATTTCGTGACTGTGCGAGATAATGAAAATGGGAGATAAAATCTTTAAAAGAGAGAGAATAATGTGATACTATTTCTCTAGGGTTTTTGCCCTCAAAGTGCCAATCCGATCCATGCTGATCCCGTGGAGATATTTATACATGAGTATGAGGTTCGTACAAGGTAAGTAGGGTTGACGTAGAGCCAAGTCTAAAGGTGGGATACGGCTGACGTAGGGCTGATGCAGTTGCCTACTTATTACCATAAACTGTCTAGACTAATTAAAGAAGCTACTTAAATGAACAACGAAGATGGCCTCCGCAGGATCCGCTGATATCTGGATACACACTCGGTCGGGAATGCCCCGGGCGCCTGAGGATGCTTTTAGGGGCTCCCGCGCCTGGGCCAGGACACTCCGACTGCGAAGCCTGGTCGCTCAGTTGAGTTCCGAAGCAGTGTGCGGTCGAGGACACACTAATACAAAATTGCAGATAGGCAACCATTGTACAATGGTTGCCTACGAGAGACTCACGGAAAGTCATGGACTTTACGCGACCATTTTAAAATGGTCGCGCATTGTTACTAATACGCGACCGTTCTTGACAAAGAATGGTCGCGTATTGTATTTATTTATTATTATTTTTTTTTAATTCGAAGGTAAAACACGACCATTTTGAAGCTGGAAATGGTGGCGTTTTCCTTTTTTATTATTTTAATAATTAGTCATCCGCGACCATTTTTGGCTAGGAATGGTCGCGGATGACTTTTTTTTTTAATATTTAATTTTTTTGAAAGGTTTAGTATTTAATTTATTTTAATTAAAAACTCTAATTTTTTTTTTTATAATTCCTGTACCTGTTACAGCTTAAAATCCATATCAACAGTACTCCACAATACAATTTATCTATCATCAAATTAAACACTAATACTTTTAACACAATGAAAATACTATCATCAAAACACAATAATATTTAAAATCCTCATACTTTAATACAATAATATCATCAAAACATATGAATTTTGTCTACAAGAGGTAAACTTGCCAAAAAATATATTTTCTTGAGCATTGGAAAAGAACTAATAGCAGAAACAAGCTCGCCTACATACACGTCTTCGCTGGAGTACTGGCAGTACTTGGCCCAAATAGTAATCCGGTTCTGACTTCCTTGGAACACGCATTGTATACGAGGGTTTCTCCATTGATGTCATGACCTTCTCCTTGCAAGTAAGGAAATGTTCAGTGCTCCTCGATATATAGTTGTCCAATGGAACCAATATGTCTGCAAAATAAAATGAAGTGTTTAATACATCTTAAATGCATGCATGAGGTGAAGTCCTCTGGGACATATTACTAAAGTTACCACAAACCATCAAATATAAAACAGGAGAAAAAAATACAATTAATCAAAATAATAATTAGAGCAGAGCTCTTAACAAACTTACTTGGGAAATAATCAATAGCCCAGTCTGCAAGGGCCTCCATCATTAATGGCCAGAGACTCCACATGTTCATTGATATTTTTGGCGAGTAAAATGTCATATAAGAAACAATCTCCAGAACCTCTTCATAGACATCTGCAGAAGTATAGATTGACTACAATCAGGACTTTAATTCAAATCAAAGAGGGAGGAAATGCGGAGTAGAAGTTTACAACATTCTTAGTGTCAACTAAGAAAACTCAGAAAACTGTATTATTGTGTTGTGTTTGAACTAAGCCTGTACAGTCTATATATATACAACATGGAGCAAGCTCATCCACAGAAATTCAAAAAACAAAAGAAAGGTAAGGAGAAATCATCTAAGCAATCCCTCCTAATTATTTAAATGTAATAAAAATTTATATTTATATTTAAATAACATATATATAGCCAATAACTGTGCAGTAAAGCTTCTTGTGATGGGGCGGGTCTGCGGTTTACTATCAACAACAGGAGCAATCACAAGATTTCCAATATCTTCAAGTGCCCATCTATTTCTCCCCCCTGCATTCCCACATATATATTAAACTTAAAGTTGCCTATAAGTTTGTAAAAAAAAAAATTCCATCAAGATAACAACTTTCTTGATCTAGAAAAGGACCATGATAACTTCAAGGCAATTAAGGAAAAGTAAATGGGAGAAAACCAATCCTATTCAGATTCTCAAAGAAAAATCATCATCATCATAGATAAGAACAAAAAAGGCCACCAACCCACACAAATTGCAAATACAGGAATAAACTTGAAACAAACATTAATCACATGAACCCATTGGTTAATAATAACAAGAACTTTGAAGTGCAAAAGGAAATTCTTAACATGATCAATCAATGCCACCAAAAATACATGAACCCCAATATCAAAAACATAATTTCTAGTTCAGAACATAAGTTTAAATTTTAAATCGTTCAAAACCCCTCAAATTTATTCAAGATATGTCCACAACAAACTCATATTCTCATAAGCATAACAAGCCGCAGAAGAAGATTCAGAAGAATTATAAACTAAAGAAAAAGAAAAAACTTCATTTCTTGGATATACCTCTCAAAGGTTGGTATTTGACAGCAGCTTTAGACTCCATTTATGGAATTCCCTGCAAGAGTCCGACGATCCTATTAGGAAGAAAACCCTTATTATCTTATCTCGCTCTCTCTGTATGCCTAAAACTTCCAACTTTCTCTCTATGCTTCTTCAGAGCAAACTTGATTGAGAAGAAAATACAGGGTTTTAAATAGGCTAGCGCCAGCCAGCTCCTTCAACGGTCTTTTTGCATTAATGATTTCTATTTTATTTAACATTTGGAAACAAAGTTAGTTTTACTCTAATTTGTTTTAAAAAACTGAGGCTGTGCCTTCACTACATATTACATTTAGATCAACTTGTCTAATGCTCTAAGCTTCAAAATGTTCTGAGAAATATACAGTACCAACTGAGGTGTAGCACAATAATAACTCTTCTTACTTGGAGTGGAACCAGTAATGAAATTGGCATGTCCATGTAAATTAGTTGACTTGTAGCAACCAAATAATTGATCTTTTTCAATATCAGTGAACATCATCATTAAACATATGCAAGTAACTGTGATTCCATGAGAACTACTAGTACTATCAACTTAAGCCAGAAGAAACTATTGAATGCAGCAAGAATGAAAAGTCATGTAGCAATAATGTGCATAAAGGAGCAGTATTTTTAAATGCAATATTAGCCATTCACAGAAAGAACAAACCTGTCATTACGATCATTTGGACTTTCACCAGGCATGGCCTTCACATATGTATCCCTTCAGGAGAATAGGGGAAAAAAGATCATAATCTCAACCTCAGCATTACTATTTAGAAGTATAAAACATGGACAGACTTCATTTCACACTGTCAGTGTTTTATAACATGTGATTCTGAGTCCTTTTGAAAACCAGTAGTAATATTATGGACTGTGTAAAAAAGATCAAACAAAGAAGTAGAAAAGCATAAGGTTGTAATTGTTAAATAGCCAGTAGCACATTGCATGAACTCAACTTAATAAATGCAATTGGTAGTAAAATAAAACATACATTTTAGCTACCATCCAACTTTAAATAATATCCAGGCATTCATGTATGGAAGTAGATAGAGAAAGAGGAAAAAGAGGACATACTTATGGTACTCATTGGAAAAGACAAAGAACTTCCTGAGAGAATTGCTACATAGGGCTCTAAGTCTATTATAAACAGAAATGTTCTTGTTCTTCACCTCCTCCAATACCACCGATAGCACCACCACATTATCAATCGCAGGATTCTCCAGCAAATCAATCTAAATTCAAAAAATAATAATAATAACCAAAATATCACACACAGAAACACTCCGTAGAAATATACGGCAGCAACTTGAGCAGACGAAATAAGACCTGGTGAAGAACAACATTAGTGTCGACAACGAGGATACGGGAGGAGCTCAAGCGAGCGGAAGAAACAACGCAACTTTTACAAAATGTGGCTCCGCAGTAGATATCATCACGGAGATAGTGTTCCCTAACGACCTGCGATTAACAGAATTTTCACGATATAGAATCCTCATGATAAACCCTAAGCATTCTCTTCACGAATAATGCTATTTTCAAGTGAAAGTTGTGAACTCACCTTGATTACTTTCCCCTGCAGGTGGCTTTTTTTTTTTTTAACAAGTTTAGTCTATTAGTTTCCGTGTTTGGCCCAACTTATACTTCTTGAAATACATAAAAGCGAATAAGTTGTGTGACACAAAAGCACTAAATGGTAAATATATTTTATTTCTTGGGATAATGATTATGAGGTGATCCCATACCTAATAACAAAAACAGAAAATACATTACTCAAGCTGTACTAATTACAGAGTATAATCAAAAGTTGGGTAAGAACAAGAAACAAACACTTGTACAACAAGGAAATGACTCAAAAAAGAATTTCACTTCCCCAATCTCCAGAAGTTGTCGAGGATCAATTTTTTAATTCATAATCCCTCTAAAACACTAGTTCCTAAAGCAAATCTAATCACTTCCACTCTTCATACACGACACACACACTTGTAAAACAAGTACGGAGTAAAAAAATAATTAGAAGTACCTTGAAGAAATCAAGATTGGAGGCATATATTGCACAGAAGCACTTTGCAATGGACCAATGGTTCTTGATCAAATCTTCTTCTGGCATATATCCTTCCTTTCTTTACCATAATTTTAGAAAATATAAAACCCACCATATTCCTTCTCAGGTCTACATTCACCATAATCCAAGAGGAAAAGTAACTAGTAGTCTAATACAATAGATAATGGTCAATACAAGAGCAAAGAAGTCATTGAGAGAAGACAAAAATTGATAGTAAGTGTAGCAAAAGGAAGGTGGGGAAAAGAGGGGCATACAATTGAAGTGGGGAGAGAGAGGATAAACCAATACTTATGGGCGGATGACATATTTTGGTTTTCCTTCAGCATCTTGTTGTCCAATTGGTGCTCTACAATGTATCAATGCGTCCATCATATAGTTTTTTTCTGTTAAGATTGAATATAAAACAATTTAGAACATAATTATACAAATATGGAAATGCTATAAAAAAGCAACATGAAGATTTTAGCTCTGAGATGCGATTTTGATGGCCGTGGCTGTGGCGTGTGGCGTGTGGCGGTGCGTCGGCAGATCAGCGATGGTGGCGATGGCTGCGTCGAGGTTGTCACGGTGTGGTGCACATCGGCAGATCGTCGTCACGGTGGAGGTCGTGAGGCCAACGGCGTGGTGGTGGTGGGTGTTGTGGCGGTGAGACGATCGAAGCAGACGACGGATGAAGATTTTAGATCTGAGATGCGATTTTGATGGCTGTAGCGTGTGGTGGTGCGTCGCGGTGAACGAAGCAGACGGTGGTGGGTGGCCGGCGGCGTCAGAATATCGGCAGACGGTGTTGAAGATCGGAGCAGATCGGCAGGTCGGAGCAGACGGTGTTGGGTATGAGAGGATGAGCGTACACGGTATTGGGTATGAGAGGATGAACATATCTGATGGAGCGATGGTAGATCTAGGTTAATATTAGGCCACCATTTCTATTAGAAATGATTGCCTATTATAAAACAAGTTCTATTTTAAGGCAACCATTCCAATAGAAATGGTTGTCTTTTATAAATTAATTTTTTTTTAAATAAATACAAAATACAATGGGCAACCATTACAATTGACAATGGTGACGAATTATTGATCACTTATTTACAAAATTGCCACCGCAAATTTTTGGACTAAGATTAGGCAATCATTCTTTCAACAATGGTGGCCTATGGTCAATCTTCTATGTTCAATTTTGTACTAGTGACACGCCGCCTGCGTAGCCTGATCGTCCATTCGAATCCCGCAAGGTATTCAGCTGGAGACAGGCCGACCACCGAGGCTGGTCGCCCGACCGGATCTCACCTGAGAGCCTTCCTTGGGACGCGCCGACTGCTGAGATTAGTCGCCAAAGGAGGAATAGTTGCTGTCATAGGACGCCTTACACGATGGCTTGGAGATCCTCCACTTGCTAAGTATCAAGCTGCGCCTTTACCCGGCCGCCTTGCTGGGCCTTCCCGTCCGGCCGGATATTTTGGGGTATCTATCAGTGTGAAAATGTGAAAATATTTATGACAAAATATGAAACATAATCAATTAGATAAAATAATTTGAATAACACTATATTTATAAATACTTTTTTATTTTAATTTTTTTTAGTTAGATCAACTTTAAGTTTTTCTAAATTAATTCGAATACAATGAAGTATAATATACACTTGTATACTACATTAATTAAATGATTCATAAAAAGTATACTAAAAGAACATTTAATTTGTTAATTAAATGATTCATAAAAGTAGACTAAAAAAAGAGTTAATTTCACCGGAGGTCCCTTGTCTTTGGTGGCAATTCCAAATTTAGTCCCAGACTATCATTTTTGACATTTTACATCCCAGACTATCATTTTTTGGACACTTTTAGTCATTCTTGTGATTTTTTCTATTTTTAGTAAGTGTATTTTTGTCTCTTCATATTTTTCTTTTGTTATTTTTTCGGTTTCAACCAGTTTAATTGGTTTAGGAATTTACTAAAAATTGGTTGAAAAATATGGTTACTAAAAATCAGAGGTTACCTAAAGTTCTAAACCAATTAAACTGGTTGAAAGCGGAAAAATAACAAAAGAAAAATATGAAGAGACAAAAATGCCCTTACTAAAAATAGAAAAAATCACGAGAAGGACTAAAAGTGTCCAAAAAACAATAGTCTGGGATGTAAAATGGCAAAAACGATAGTTTGGGACTAAATTTGGAATTGTCACCAAAGACAAGGGACCTCCGGTGGAATTAACTCCTAAAAAAAATAATTTATCTTAGGAATGAATGAAAGAGATCCATCCATTTTGTAATATCAAATTTAGAATTCAACCAACTAAGCTATTCAAACTATTAAGGTCTGTTTACTAACAGAAAACTGTTCTCCGTTTTCTGTTTTCTAATTTTTCAATTTTCATTCTCTGTTTTCTGTTTAGAAAACTTACTTACTAACACTTATTTTTTCAATTTTTTTTTTTTAGATTAACGTTATAAAATTAACAAAAGTTTAATTTCGAGTGAATTTTAGATCTTATATTTAATATATTTTTACATATGTTTGGTTTAAATGGAATAAATTTAATTTTTTTTTACTTTTAAGTCTAATATATTTAAGTTGATTCTGTTTTCCTTTTAGAAAACAGTTTTTAAGAATGTTCCAGTTTTCCAGAAATTTCCATAAATTATTTTCAGTTTTCAAAATGAAAAACTGTGCTACTAAACATGTTTTATGTTTTCTATTTTCCAGTTTCCAGAAATTTTCAGTAATTTCCAGTTAGTAAACGATACTTTAGTATTTTAAACATAAATATAGATTTTATATAACATTTAATGCTATATATATATATATATATATATATATATATATATATATATATATATATATATATATATATATATATAAAGGGTGGAGTGGGGGAGTGGGGGTAGGTGCCCCCACTGCCCCCATAGTAACTTCATTCATACCTATGAACCAACTAAATTACTTGTGCGAACAAATAAATAATTAAATGCATGCTCACATTGAGATTTGAACACTTCTTAATTCATTATCATGACTAAATTGTTAACAACTTAATTTTTCTCATACATGATATTAATGTTACTTCGTATTGAATATTTTCTATTTTTAAAAAATATTTTTCTTGAGGTATAATTAAAAAAGGTAAAACAATCACTCTCTTCATGCAAGGAAGTGGAAGGAACACTAGTGATGTCGTTAGGGGGAATAGGGGCCACGTCCACTTAAATTAGTTAGACAATTAATTTTGTTACCATAAGTTTGCAAAATTGACTTTTCGTTGGAGCCCGTCTATTGGTCTAGGTTGAGTTGATCAATTATAGTTTTGGTTTATCTTATTATAGTTATTTGTCGGCTAAGGTTACAAGGTAAAATTTATCTAAAGCGCACATTCAGATAGTCCATGCGAGTTTTCCCATAAATCAAAGGAACAGTAGCGATGTCATCAAAGGGTATATTAAAGAGCAACCAACAGAGAATCAAACATCATAAACATCGGGCTACAACATGATGTCTTTCTACTCAGGAAGGCATTAAAATGTATGATAGGTGTATATAAATTGTGTTGATATTTCTACAATAAAGGATTTTTTTGAATTTTTTAAACGACTCATCCTAGATTTTGGTAGGCAAGATTAAAATTGGTAACAAACGTGACAAAATATAAAAAAGACATTGGACCATCCCTTTAATTTGGGTATTCCAATAAGTAATTAATATAACAATATGAGCAACATACAAGGCAGAATCTATTACATTATCTAGCTATTTAAGAAATGATGCCTAGAGAGAAAAAAGAGAGAAAATTGTTGATCTCGAGGTTGATGATGATGTATGAAATAAAATGGAGACTTGCTATTTATTACTTATAAGTCTAGAAAATTAGTTACTTCAGGCAAAATTCATGAAGAGTGAGTACACTCCTATAATGGTCGCTTGCATTGCCACACAATAAGACAGGCCATGCGGAGGAGTTAGAGCACTCCATGCATGTCGACAAGCGTGAGGTGTGCCCAAGTTGCCCGGTATGATAGCATATTGCCCCACGCTTGGCAGTGTGCTGTTGCACCACCTCACGTGAAAATTTCAAATGGTTGGACAACCTCAGCCCCTTGATTTTATCCCTTTTCAGTTTTATACATTTAGGAGATGTTTGGTTCATGGAAAATGTTTTTCAAAGGAAAATATTTTCCTTAAAGTGGAGGAAAATGTTGTTTTCTTGTGTTTGGTTCATGGAATTCATTTTCCATTGAAAAATGAATTCCTCAAATTTGAGGAAAACAAAATCCTTGGTTGGACCAAAGATTTTGTTTTTCAGGGAAGATGGGAAGAAAAAGTGAGATGGAATGTCTATTTTACCCTTGTTTACTTTTTTTAATTATATTACTTTTATTAATTTGTAGGGGCATATATGTCTTTATACTCGTTATTTTTTACAATTCCAAATCTAACCAAACAATAGAATTAGTATTCCCAGTAATTGTTTTTCCACCAACCAAACAATGAAATTCATCTTTCTAGTAATTGTTTTTTCCATGGAATTTCAATTCCACTTCCCTTAAAATATTTTCCGCAAACCAAACGAGTCCTTTAGTCTTTTAGATTCTATGTCTTTCATCAATCTCTTTGTATTTTGTACCTTATTCTTCAATGCTTTAACCTAATTATATTTTTCTTTTTTACTCACTATGAACTTTTTTAGACTTTTTAAACCGACTCTTATATCCTAATTAATTATAATATCCTTTTTTAGAGTGATAGTTATCCAAACTACAATAATATTATTTGAGGATAAAATTAATTTTAGAAATGTACAGCATTTTTTTTTTTTTTTGAGAAATGATGTACAGCATTTGTTTGTGGTTGTCAATTGTAATTTCATCGATAATTTTCTGTTAAAAAAAAAAAACAAAAGAAGATAAAAGGAAAGGAAACATCCCCTTCAAGTTTTATTGGTTTCCGTTTTCCAGGCCGTACAAAAAGAAGTGCGTGTGGCACACTCGCAGCGTTCGAGTGGGCAGGGCGTCATCACCGCATCATCAGGGCGTATACGTCCGCCTGAGAAACTTTCCGTATAAAGCCATCTAAAGCTACGCCGTCGACGCCGTTTCTCGCGAGAGATGGAGTCTCTATACGGGGAAAGAGGAGCCGGAGGGAAGCTCAAGAAGCCACCTTCAAGGAAGCCGCCGGCTTCTCCGTACGCTCGGCCTCCTCCTACTACTCCGGCGAGTCGGATTGGGAGCAATGGTTGGCTTTCTAAACTCGTCGATCCCGCCTACCAACTTATCTCCAGCAGCGCTACCAGGATTTTACCCTCATTCTTTTCCAAGTCCCCCTTCGATGTTCCTCCTCTTCTTCCTATCACTCAAAGCAACGGTATTTCATACATATAGATACATGCATATCGTATTTATATTTATATGAATACATATTACTGTACTCCGTAAATGAAATAAAATGTCCATTTCCTTTGTCTTATACATTTAAATTGATTGATTGCTAGGGCTGCTTACTGCATATTACGGTAGAATTGATTGCTTGCTCTACATTATTTACTGTTTTGATTCCCAAACGTTACGATAGGTGGCACTAGGCATTATAAACGGTGTCTATATTTTAATTTTTAAGTTACATTTGACATTATTAAATATTTCTGAAAATATAGGTTTTAGAATTGCTTTCTTAGTTCTGTTAATGCTTATGATATTGATGATGTTAGAAACAGTTTTTTTTTTTTTTTTTTTTTTTTTTTTTTTTTTTTTTTTTTTTTTGAGATTAGAAACAGGGGTTTTAGTGAACTAGGATTTGAAAATTGGCGCCTTTTATTTTACTAGTTTGGACCTCAAGTTTGACAAAAAAGGTAGTTGCATATGTATCCCTTTTCTATTTCAGGTCTCTTTGCATTTATCTGCATGTTAAGATGCATTGTACAACGCTATTCAGCACATTTGATTAATGCATAAAATAGCTAAGTGCATGTTTTGTTGGATCGTTAATTAATAAATTTTGGACAGTACAAGCACGTATTTGTTCATGGATTAGGAGCAAGTTGATTTGTCGCATGATGTTGTATAAAGGTCTTTCTTTTTTGGCAGTTAGCTAGTTGCCACTGACACCCAACCACCTCTCCACAGTTGTATTTTTATTTTAATTTTTAATTTGAATTTAGTGACCTGCCATCAAGTTTAGTGTATTCTTCATTTTCAGTTGACCAAGTCTTGTGTGATCTCCTTCAGGTTGCTATGACATTCGACTTCAAAAGATTCATTTGATTGATGATTTATTTGATGGATGGGATTGTGTCAAATTGTATTTGTGGAAATCATTTAGGAAGTGATCTTTATTTAGTGGAACATCGACTGAATCAGTTTGATTTTGAATGACAACAGAGTATTACGAGTAATCTTAAATTGAAATGGCATACAGGGGTTTGTGAAACATGAAGCATGCATATGCAGAATATAGAATTTGATTGTCAAACTTATAAAAGGGAATATCCTTTATGAATTTCTTCTTTAAAAACAAGAAGCTGATTAGAATAGACATCTCCATGTATGCATTCTTTATGGAGTTAATGTGATAAAGATGGATTCCCCTTGATTTTTAGAAACCTTTTATTTTAGTTTTGTTTTGCCTGGTTACACTGCATTGTTTCTTGTCATTTTCAACCTCAGTATGCTTTTTGGGGACAGGTGTAGAAGATGCGGATGTGATTCCAAATTCAAGGGATGTAGAGAATTTCACCCCTTGTGTAAGATAAATTTTCCTTGCTTATTCTTTAATTGACAAAATGAAGAACTGTAATAATAATTTATTAAGGGTGAACAAATGTCTTGAAGAGTTTTGACAATAGTAACAACTGAAATTTAAAAATGCACAAGATAGATTTGGTAAAATGGCATAATACAACTAAACTAGTTTCTTAATTCACTAAAGATCATCTTTCATATTCAACCAATGGGTATGGCTATGGTAGAGCTATCTTAAATGTAGTACTGCATTTGTCCAATTTAGATGGCACACTAACTTTCTATGTGGGTTTTGAAGAAGTTCCCTTTGAAAATATTTTAATTTTATGACTTGACTTTTAGAGTTGTTCTTTTAAAATAGTTTATATATAACAAAGGATTACAGGAAAAGGAAAGTAAATATTATTTTAGGATCGATGAAGAAAGAACACAAGCTAGGTTGTTGACTAAATTGACTAATTATAAGATTCAAATAATATCAATTAGGTGATAAGCATTTTGTTTGCTTAATATAATTAAAATGAAAATTTGCAGTGTCCAGTGTCTTCCACTGAAAATGTTATAATATTTCATTCAGAAATAAAATGTCGAATTGGAAATTGCTTGCATGGATAACTGGAGTATTTTGGTAGTAATCTTCATTTTGGACACAAATCTGTTCTATTTTAGGTTATACCCATTTGTATGAATAACTAAATAGGAGGATCTTTAGTTTTTAAGTAAATAACTTTGGAGGTTCTTTATTTGTCTTGACAAAGTACTCTTCAATTTGTCAAGATGAGACTAACAATGTAATTCGTGCAACTCCAGTAGCTGTCAAAAGTCAAACCAAAAAAGGACACTGCCCAAATGGAACAATCTTTCTTTGTTTAGTTGAGTTGAGTTGTTTATAGTTGTTTACATTGGTCCAATAGTTCAATTTATTTACACATGAAATAAGGTCCAGTAGTTGTGTAATTGGAATTACATTTATTCTTTGTGTATGTGTGTGTGAAGAGATGGGGCAGGGGGAGGTGGGGGTAGGGGAGGGTTTTTTGCCCTGATTTGTAGTTCAATTATTGCTTATGTTGCAATAATTTGTGAATGAAGAAAAATGAATGTTCTTTAGAAGAGAAGCTAATAATTCAATTTTGATGTATTTGATCATAAATTAGGAAATCTTTGAGATCAAAACTTAAGATGTGTAATGAATAAAATGATAATCAAACTATATTTTTTTTCTTTTTAAATTTCTTAATTTCAGTCTCCTTTCCTATTACCATGAATATTTTGCTCTGATGGTGTTTGGACTATTTGCTTCCACTACTACTGGACAAGAACTGAAATGTTAAATAGTTCTGGTGTTCTTATAGAATTAAGAATCTCTTCAGAAAATGTTGGGATTTATGTTATGCAGCATGTATCCAGATCTACTGAAGGAATGGGTGCCAGTGTACAGTTTGATACATTGAAGAAAATTACTGAATGTGAAAGGTTGGAGCAAGAGAAACCAGAGACTTCTGATGATGATTCTGTTGTTTCCAGAATTGAGCAATTGATGAAGGGGAAAGCATTTTCTAGGTAGTATTATTATTGCTGTTTATGATTTCTTTTGTGGGAGACTAGATCTCATGCTATAAGCATCTATGGTTCTGTTTCAAATGCCTTTTTGGTTGAAGGTTTTATACTTATACGCACCTAAAGTTTCTAGATGACTAGATCCATCTGAAAAATGGGTAATGCATTCAATAATCCCTCTCCAACCTAAAGAAAGAAAAGAATCTAAATCCGAGTTTAATGGCTGGAGCTGGGTTTATGCTGCTGAAATGTTTCTGGGTTTGTTACGTTGGGCTAGTTTATATATTTGGAAATAACTATTATGGTATTGGCTGTGGTTAGATAGGGCAAGGGCACAAGGCGATGGTTGAGGTCAAGTAGTTGTTTGACTTGTTTCCATTGATTTATCTTCTGTTGTTTTGCTTAGGAGGGTTACTGCAGACAATTTGGGTGCTCGTGGTAGTGTGTTATGGAAGTAGTCATTTTCAGAAAGTAAATAGAATTAAAATTTGAAACTATATGTCAGGAACATAAAAAAAAAATAGAAAATATGACTCTGGTGGAATGGGTCTCTAACTTGCCCATCCTTCTCCCAGAACAAGTAAAAAATGAAACACATATTAACTAGTAGTGTTAATGAGTTGGTTTGGGTGAAAGGGGCCACTGGACCCATTCTATAGATTTATGTGCATATGGACTTCTTTGTCCACTCTAATTCATTGAAGTCTGCTCATTGGACAACTCTAACTTCCTCATAGAGATTGTTGCTTTCTACCTCGAAATAAATATTTTCAGTTGTTTTTGGATTGTTCATGGTCATTTTGGATTGGATTATATTAGTAAATATGCATATGATAGCTAAACTGTGGCACAGTAGTAGAATAGGCCTTTCCAGAAACTACTGCCAGGTTAAACTGTTTTCTTCCATCTTCATTGTCACAGTGTATGGTTTGATCTGAATTTTTGGTTCTGCTAATCTAAATATCTTCCTTGCTTTGCATGGGTGAAATATTAATGAATACTTTTTCCTTTGTGTTCTTGGTTAAGCTTATTAAAATGTGTTTATTGTTATGCAGGGATGAAATAATTCATCTGATTGAGATCTTGAATTCTAAAGTTGATGAACAAGAAAAGAACAAAAAATGCATGACAGTTGAAAGAGACAATGAAAGGGCTCTTTTATTGCATGACACACCAAGAAAATTAAGTGAAAGAAAACTGGAAAACATGACTAGAGCTCTGCCAGGACCTTCAACACCTATTCCTGAATCAAGTGTAAGTCACTTCAGTCAATGGCACACTATTTATTTAGCTTGGAGGCCTGAAAAGAGGCTGAAAGAGTGATTGTATCCTGAAAGTTTTAATATTTTTATATTGACATGAAAGCTGATAAATTTTCTCTATGTAGAAATTTTTGTGTAATCAATTTCTTCAAGATCTGATCAATGTGACTACATTATTGATGTTTTTAGGATGCTTAACCAACATTTCAGGTGCCAGAAGTTAGTGGTTCACCCATTGATATTGCAAGAGCTTATATGGGAAGCCAAATTTCAGATCAAACCCTCGGCCCTAATTTTGTTCTTATAAAGGATGAAGCAGATCCTGTAAATGATATATGTGCATTAAAACCAGTTATTACTTCACCATCATCAAAGCCTTCCACTTGTTGGCCTGGGGCATTAGTGCCAGAGCAGCCAGGCAGATTTGGGTTCCATGAATTTTCTAAGACTCCATATTCTAGAACTTTATTATCAAAGTCTAGAACCAAGGTTTGTGCTTCAGATTATTATCTGAGATTCTGAAAAATTCTCTCCATATATTTTTCTTGTGGAATTAAGGCTTTTCACTATTTTTCTTTCTATTATCAGTCACAAGCTGATAGCAGGTGCCTGGAATCTTTAGTAAAACCTTTTCCACAATCTCAAACCTCACAATATGGAAAGGTACTTATAATCCTAGATATCCATGAGTAGTTTCATCATGTAATAACTTCTAACTCTGTTCTATTACTCCTAGTTTTTCCTTTGAATTTTGTACTGTAAAAATTTCAGGCGAGGACAAAGAGTGATGTGTATGACTATGGCTATGGATCAGCAGGGCCTATTAGGAGAATACATTATAGATTTGGCTCAGAATCTCACCACACAGGATCTATTTTCCTGAATTCATCCAAACCTACTCATTCGCCTATTGAAAAGCTAACTGCTTCTAAAACATTCTTGCCTTGTATTGGAAAGAACATGGAAATTGGAGAAAGTAGTGGGACATCAATGTCCGACATTAAAGGGGCATGCACCTCTGGACATGCTTTGCCAAGTGAGGCAACTACAAGAATGATAATAGATCACCTTAACAGGCACAAACCCACACCTAAAGAAAGGGCAGCTGAACTGAAGCTGGCCACTGAATGGAATAAATCACCTGGTGCTGAAGTTTCTGATGCAAGACTAAATGAGAGCGCATTGCCGCAACATTTAGGAAACTCTAAAGTCGGTAAGAGGACAGACTTGGCCAACCCAGAATCTCTCAAGGGAAGAGGTTCTGATAAAGACGATTATCAGGTGAAATCCGAGGAGAGAAGTATGAGAGAAGCTGAAGTTGCTAAAGGTGCAAGTGCTCTAACCTCCATCAAAGCAGGTGATTTTGGCGTGAAGACTGATGCCAGTACAGAACCTTCATTGGATTTTAAGAGTACCAATTCACAAGTCAAAAGTTCCACTTGTAATTCTCATGACATGAGTTCTGATCAGGTATTATTGCTATACATAATTATTTCTGTTTGAGATTGTAGTCCATGTTAGTGGGTTTCTGACCATTTATGGCAATAGTAATAGTCTTAGTTGATAGTGAGGTTAAAGCAAGAAATAAGATTCAGTATTGCCATGCCGAACATGAGGCTGATTCTTTTATTCATACAGGACTTTGTAGGCTGTAGCAGTGGGCAGAAAGCAACAAATCAAAATTTGTGTTTCCAGCATCAGAGTAATGGGCAAAATGTGTCTACTACATCCAAATCAATAGCAGCACACACCTGTGGAACAAAACCAACCTTGCCATTTAGTATTTCTATAAGTAAACCTGACCCTAAATCTGCTGTTTCCTATGATAATAGTTTTGGATTCAGTTTTCCAGTTCCTGCATCATCTGGTTCTGAACCACCAACACCCTCCATGGCATCATTCTCTCCAAGTGTTATACCATCACCTTCAATAGACCCATCTGCTCCTTCTTACAGTTTTGGCACTAAGAAATCATCTTCCCAACACCTAGTTTTCTCTTTTCCATCTTCAGGCAGTGCTGTCCAATCTGACACTTCAGGAATTAAATTCAACTTTGGGGCAGATAGGAAGACCACAAGGTTATCTTTCGGTGCTGTAGGTAAAGCTGTCTGTTAGCTTATTTGTTAGTGTATCTATAGGTATTTCCTAGCTGCATCACTTCAGAACAATTGAACGAGGATGATACGTTTTCTTTATGCTCTTTTTCTTGTTTTTTCATTTCTTTTTCCTGTGATAATACAAGGTACGGAGTACTTGATTGTGCTTCTCTTCTCACATTTTGAGGAATCCATGCCCTTTTCTCTTCTCTCTCTCTTTTAAATTTATTTATAGGTAAAATGGGAGTTTGGTCCCTGAGTTATAAGTTATAACCGTAGTGATGACTCAGTCCTTCAGTTATGAAAGAAGTGGTGAGTTTGGTCCTTGACGCTAGTGGTGTGTTGACAAAGTTAGTTCTAGGGATAAAGAAGTAAATTCCTTAATAAAACTTGTAAACTTAGCTAAAATACTTTCCCAAATCAATCAAAACCCTAACTTGCTTATGTAATCAATGAAGAAATTCTACTCCCGTTTTTATAAAAAATCAAATTTCAATATTTCAATTCTATTTAAAAAAAAAAAAAAAAAACTTAAATGGCAATTTTTTGTAAAATACAAAAATTTCTCCATATAACATGGATAAACTTGGTATCTTTTTCTTTGATTAGCATAACTCCATGACATTTTGATGAGTAATAAATCATCACATCTACATCAAAAATTATCCCCAAATTGAGGGAAAAGATGAAGTACTACAACTAAGAGATGATATCCTATAATTAATGACTAAATTAGTTCATCAATACAGAGAATATTGATTATTTATTTAAACATATAAAATAGAGAAACAACTTGTGAATTTCGCAGCTTGAAAGTGGACGAATTTGAGATTTCAAAGCTTGGGGAAGAAAAAGATTTTCAATTGTAGGTATAAAAAGAAAAGAATGACTATTACGCAATGGGTTTGAATATAAGAAGGGGATTATAATTTGAATTTCTGTTTTACCCCTCTATTATTAAATTGTTTTTAAGTTTTCCGTTAGCAGCATGTGTGGCTTGGTACATGAAAATACTATTCATGCACTCATTTGGTGTTACTATTCCCAACTAGTTTGGAATGAATCCACCATAACTATCTCTAGTATAGCTGGCACTTCTTTCATCACGTGGCACTCATTGGAGGCCTTATTTGAAGAGAAATCTTTTGCTTGTGGCAGTGTTATATCATTTATGGAAGTCAAGGAACTCGGCGGTGTGGGAGGAACTCTACTGTTTCCCAAGAAAGTTTGTTCGACAGCGAGGGCTGCGTTGAGTGCCTGACAGTCTGTTCATCCCCGCCGTGCGCCCGTCGCTGCTGCTACACCCTCCGCTACTGTTGCGCCCCTTGCTTCGACTGCCGTGGCTGTCAACCCAGATGAAGCTGCCGAGACCACAGCTGTTCTGACTAGATGTTTTGTAGACGCCGGCTTCTCGCCTACGACGAAGAGGGAGTCATTTGGCGTTGTCCCGCTTGCACCGGATAGGAGTTTTATGTCAGCTTGCAATGGTTTGTTGTCGCCTTGCTTCTCACCGCTCATGGCGGAATCAATGGCTTGCAAGGAAGTACTGTCCTGGCTCATGGATCGGGGAGTGTTGTCCGTCGAGTTGCTCACTGACTGTTCCGAGTTGTGTTGCTATTTAGCAGCTGATCAAGTTGCTCTCTTATCCTATGTTGGTTTTATTATTCATGACTGCATACCTTTTACGTCTTCTTTTTCTGGTTGCTTAGTTGGTTTAGTCCCTAGATTGGCAAACTTGTTAACTCATACTCTTGCTACTGCGACTTTTGCACAGACTAGTCCGTTGTACTGAGATTCTGTCCCCACTGACTCTATTTTGGCTTTACTATAGTAATCTATGCAGCACCTTTAATTTACTTTCAAAAAAACATTGACATTCAATTTTAATTCATGTCAACAAAACATAGTTCTTGAAGTGCCTCACCCTCAAAAAAGAAACAAAAAGTTTACTGTTATCTAATGTTTTTTTTCATAATTTAAAATTGAAAAAGCATCGGTAAGGACGACATTGTAACACATTAAAAGAGAGAATATTTTAAATATATTAGTCACCAGAAAAATTTATAATTGAGTCCTAAGGAATTGGATTATAGAGTAACCTGAAATTTTTAGTAGTTCTGAAAAAGAGTGCAATATTACCTTATAATTTTATCATTGATTATCTAATTATTTTACTTTATGCACTAACAAATCAAATGAATGTCTCGGTGATATATATATATATATATATATATATATATATATATATATATATATATATAGAGGGTCGTGTTCAGGTGTGAATAGGTAGGTGCTCAGGAGAGAAATGCGAACCAATTAGCGCGTGTCACGTGTTAGCATTCATTGATCGGTGCACCTACTTTCACCTACAAGTGCATTTACTTTTACCTACAAGTGTACCTACTTTCGCCTGCAAGTGCATGTAATTTTGCCTTGTTAACATTCATTGATCTGAATTCGTTCTGTTTGGCATCGATTTTGTTCTTGCGAGGAGTTTAGCAAGTAGTAGTACCCGTGAAAACCACCCGCAAACATTCATGCACCTAGGTGCAACTACTTATAACTATAGGTGCAACTAGTTATAACTATAGGTTCACTTAGTATTGATGCTCAGTGTAAATTTTACTTGCACCTATAATACATTTTACAAGCACTTGTAATACATTTTACTTGCACTTCGATGTTCAATTATTTACGAAAATGTCACCGTTTTTTTTTTTTTTTTTTTTTTAATCAGTGTTTCTCATCCATTAGATCTGGACACATGAACGGATATCAGACATTCGCATATTCACACCTGGGCACTCCATTCACACCAGAGTGAAATTATATATATATATATATATATATATATATATATATATATATATATATATATATATATATATATATATATATATACACTAGTTTTTTTTACGCGCTTTGCGCGAATGAGATAATGCCCAATGATTTTTTTAATTAAGTACTTCATAGTATATCATGTAATATTATATAGGAGATGTTCATGTATAAGTAAATAAATGTTGAGTTTTTTTTATTTAAATCGGTAATTTAAAGTATATAAATGCAAAATAATATATGAGAGATTAATTATAATTGTTACTAAAATAAATGTTTGCAACTTTGTAATAACGCTAGTCTAAATACTGTCGAAAAGCAATAGTCTAAATAAATACTACTTTTTTGGTTTAAATTTCTCTAATTTCTCTTAATTCTCTTTTGGGTAGCATTGTCATAATCTTTATCTTCAGTACATGTCCTCTTCTTTTTATTGGTAATGTGTCATGTGAAATTTAGTTACTGGTGGTAACATAGAGGGATTTATCATGCAATGAGATTATGATGTAGGCAACTTTAGATTTGTCTTGTTGTGTATATGACTGGGATCTTAGTTGTACTATAAACTCTTTATCTAATCTAAGCAGTGGTTGATATTTGGTAGTGGTAGTTTTTCCCTACATGTTTTATGTGTTGTGAAATGCGTGTCATAGGTTATCACGTGAATGTATTTAACAAAATATTAATATTTATTATATATCTATAAAATACTGTGTGTGTGTGTATAAACATATTTTGTATTATAATTTTGATATTTAATTACAAGATAATGTAAAAATAAGACAATGGACAATGTAGTGAATATAAAAAATTAATAAATTTGAAGGCAATGAATTTTTGAATTGTAGAAAATAAAGATAATATAACTAATGAAATTATATCTCTTTTTAAATTTTTATAATTAATATTTTTTAAATAAAGACATTATAGGCATCTAATTCTAAATTAATTAAATGCGTATATTTTTTTTGTACCTACTAATTTATTTAATTTAATAAGAGTAATAATGTAGCGTACATACTTTTCATCTACAATAATGAAATCATTGATTTTTTTTAAAAAAAAATTATATTCATTGTTGAGACAAATTGTTTTGAGAGTTTGTCAATGACAATTGCTACAATAGCTGTCAATAGAGGATGATAATAAGTAATTCAAAATATATGGTTACAATAGATATTGTTATAATGATGTAGTAAAAATTAACTTACAATTTTCTTTAGAAGTTTTCATGCATTAAAAAAATTCTAATGTGTAAACTTGTTCAATTAGAGTCGGTGGGATGTCAATATTGTCAATTCTTTAGAAAATGGTATTACCGTTTTAGAGCCCATGTGTAATTGTATTTATGATCAACAACTAATTTGTATTGAGGTCGCGCAAGTTTGACAATGATGTATAAACAATTTTGTCAGATAAAAAAATAATAGTATAATATTTATAAAGTAATTTACAATTGTTTCATTATAAAAATACATACAAAAAACATTAATACCATTTTAACCTAAATTGTTCTAATAATGCAAAAACATAATTGTAATATTAAGTTTTGTTCTAAATAATCAAAAGAAGATTAATTAAAAAAAAAATAATAATAAAAACTTAACCTAAATTTTTCTTTTAAAATGAAAGAAAATCAAATTATTTTCAAAGTTCCTGATTTATAATCTTTGATGCTCAACTTTTAATGCTATGTATTTAGTTGGGCTAATTATTTGACCAAATTTTATGTTAAAATTTATAGTATGTTTTTTAATGACCTTTCTTATAGAAATTAATGAGTAAGTTAAGTATAATAAATAGTTAACGGAATATTTCGTTACTAAAGTTTATACTAACGGAAATTAGGGTTATTTAAGGGAAGAATATAATATAATAGAGGGTAAATAAGGAAAATCATAAAAAGTACTAAAATCAAAATAATATTAATCATTCATTTTAAGAAACAATTATACCGACATTTTTTTTGTTCCAGTTAAGGACCTAACATTATTGGCTCTTATTAGATTTGTAGATATATATATATATATATATATATATATATATATATATATATATATATATATATATATATATATATATATATATATATATATATATATATATAAGTTCAAATGAGGTGAGGTCCTCCCGTGCGGCGGTTTATAGAATACACTAATAGTGTTAATAATATGCAGCAATAGTGTAAGAGAAACACACAACATGAAATGCAAAAGTACACCAAAAAATACACAACACACCCAAAAAATACACCATATACCTCCCTACCACTAATGGTGTATTTCCAAACAATGTGTGGTGCTTTTAGTCATACCTAATGGTGTGTTGTTGGTGATGCGTACCTAATTTGTGTGTGTTTTTGTGGTGCATT